GTGCCAGACTATATGGCTTTCGGTGTTGGTTCTTTTTCCAAAAGAACTCCCCCCAAGGCTTCGTCCCGTCCCGCCGTCCACCCGGAAAGGATCTCAAAACGCGTCCGTCGTGCCTCTGGTTCCTCCAGTTGGCCCAAGATGGCGTCCAAGACGGCCAAGATGGCCCAGGATGGTCTCCAAGACGTCTCCAAGACGGTCCAAGATGGCCTCCAAGACGGCTAAGATGGCCCCAAGATGCCTCCAAGACGGCCCAAGATGGCCTCAAGATGGTCTACGACGGCCTAACAGGCCCGCAAGAGGCCTCCAAGATGGCCCAAGAGCCCTCTAAGACGTCCTCCAGGAAGGCCCGACGAGGCCAAAATCTTTAATTGCCCTAAGGTGTTTGATGGATTTTGGCATGTGCCCCTCTTCGGCTTTCCGACGGCCCACGACGGCCTAGAAGGCCCCCAAGATCGTCCAAGAGGCCGCCCCATGACGGCCCAAGTGGCCCCCAAGACGGCCCAAAGAGGGCTCCAAGACGGCCCCAGAGGCCTCCAACACGCCCAAGATGGCATCCAAGACGCCCAAGATGGCCTCCGAGACGGCCCCGAAGCGCCCCAAGAGGGCCCAAAGTCGGCCCAGAAAGGCCCCCCCAAACGGCTCCCGACTGCGTCAGACGTGCCAGGAACCCACCAAGATGGGCGAAGTTGGCTCGAAGCTGGCCCAAAGAGGCCACCAAGAGGGCATCCAGGAAGGCCAGAAGAGGCCCAAAACATTGATTATCCTAAGGTTGTTGTCGGATTTTGACAATTGCTTCTTTTCGACCTTCCGACGGCCCGAGACGGCCCCAGAGCCCCCAAAGATCGCCGAAAGATCGCCCAAGAGGCCTCCAAGATGGCCCCAGAACGGCCCAAGAGGGCCCCAAGACGGCCCCGAGATGCCCCCAAGACGGCACAGGAGGCAATTGAGACGCCCAAGATGGCCTCCAAGACGGCCCTGGAACATTCCAAGAGGGCCCCAAGTCGGCCCATAGAGGCCCCCCAAACGGCTTCCGACGGCGTCAGACGGACCAGGAGCCCACCAAGACGGCCGAACATGGCCCTAAGATGGCCCAAGACGGCCCAAGAGCCCCCCAAGAAGGCCCGAAAGGGTCAAAATGGCCTCCAGGCGGCCAAGAGGACTTTCAAGATGCCCACGTGCTCCCCGAAGTCATTCCAAACCGATTCGGGGAACACATGATCCGATAGCTTGAAGGTCTGGCCTCAACGTTCGGCCACATAATTAGGCGCTTCCAAAAAGGCAGGGGGCGGCGGTGATTCGCCGTAGGCGTCTTTGATAAATGCAGAGTGAGAAGGTGAGGGAGGGAAAAAGAGAGGAGGGACGAGGGCGAATGAAGATCACATCAGTCGGAGCGCCCCAGATCGGCGGCACTGGCCAGAGGCCACTACAATACTCAAAAAAATACTTTCCATACTAGTTTTGACTATTTTTGAATATTCCTCCTGTGGAGGGACAGGCCCGACTTCAGACTAGGAGGACCAGAAAGAGGTCAAGGAGCAGCCAGAGGATGCCCGGCGGGGGAAGAGAGGAGGAGGATCAGGAGCAGAGGGAGGAGAAAGAGTGGGAAGCAGGAGCAGGATCAGGGGCAAGATCAAGAACAGGATCAGGATAAGAGGGAGGAGGAGGATCAGGAGCAGGATCAGGAGCAGCAGAGTGGGAAGTAGGGGAAAGAGAAAACCGACGAGGGAGGGACACACTCCGGAGGATCGCCGAAGCTGGCTCGCAGCAAGCGGGAACCATGATTCCCCCATGTCCAAAGAGATAGGGATTTCGAATGTTCCGCATCCAGTTCCCAAGGAGGCCATCGGAAAGCGAATCGAACCACTCGGCGTAGCCCCCGATTATGAGCTTCCTCGCTAAGCTAAATGTTCAAACAAGTTTTTAAGCATGATGATGCACACCCTGCAGCTCAGAGCAAGAAGCCTGGCCCAATCCAACGAAACTCCCCTCCTCGTCCTCCTCCTCCTCCTCCTCCTCCTCCTCCTCTGGCTGCTCCTCCTTTGTGGTCCCCCCCTCCTCCTTCCCAGCCCCCTCCTCAACCACTCCCTTCCGACCCCGCCCAGCGTCCTCCCCGACGCGCCCACCCCCCGGAGGGGCACACGCACGGGGGGACCGGCTCGTGGGGGGCGGGAGGCATCGACCCGGAATCGGCGATGCGTCGCGGGCAGATCGGCGACAGGCCCCCGATAGCGAGTCCGCACGTTCCTGGGCGAGAAGGGCCATCGGGCCCCACATCGGCGATGAATGCGCGATAGGGGGGGTGCAAATCATGACCGGCGGCATGTGCGCGGCCCAGCGGGGGGGCCAGGGACGTAATGAAATAAGAGGAGGCGAACGTTCCTGGGCGAGGTGGCCCCACATCGGCAATGAATGCGCGATGGGGGGTCGATGCGCTCCCCTCTGAGCCGATGCCCCCCCTGCGTAACGTTGCCTTTGAGCTTCAGCTGGGCGGGACACCGACCTGGAATCGGCGACGCGTCGCGTGCAGATCGGCGACAGGCCCCCGACAGCGACGTCCGCATGCGGGGGGGGGGCCATCGGGCCTCTCTCGGCGATCACTGCGCGATTGGGGGTCGATGCATCCCTCCAGACCGTTGCCGCCGTCGCAGGCACCGTGGTCATCGCCGTCTTCGCCGTCGCTGTCGCCGTCGCCGTCACCGTCGCCGTCGCCGTCGCCGTCGCCGTCGCCGTCGCTGTCGCCGTCGCCGTCGCCGTCGCCGTCGCCGACGTTGTCGCCGTCGCCGTCGCCGACGCCGTCGCCGTCGCCGTCGCCGTCGTCGTCGTCGTCGCCGTCGCCGTCGTCGTCGTCGTCGTCGCCGTCGTCGTCGTCGTCTTCGTCGTCGTGGCCGCCGCGGCCGCGGGGGCCGCCGCCACCGCCGCAGCCGCCGCAGCCGCCGCCGTCGTCGTCGTCGTCGTCGTCGTCGATGTATTCCCCCCTGAGCCTGGCCCACCCCCTTGGGCGCGCGAGAGGAGCGCGAGACGCGGAGCCTGGGGGCGGTAGGCGGCACTGCAGGTCGCCTTCGGCCACCTGCCAGCCGTCCTCGCACCCCCGCCGTCGGCGGTTCCTCCGCGCGCGCTGGCGCAGAGGGGGGAGGGGGCGAGGCGTGGAGGAGACGAGGAGGGGGAGGCGACGAGGGGTGAGGGGAGGGGAGAGGGGGGGAGGCGACGATGAGGGGGGGAGGGGAGAGGGGAGGCGACGAGGGGTGAGGGGAGGGGAGAGGGGAGGGGAGGCGACGAGGGGCGAGGGGAGGGGAGGGGGGGGTCGGTCGGCTGCAGACCGATGGCGCTCAGCACTGCGCGTGTGCAGGTTATTGATAACATGTGCGCACTGATGCAGAGGACCTGGGAAGGAAGCGGCTTACCGATCCTCTGCAGACCGATGGCGCTCAGCACTGCGCGTGTGCAGGTTATTGATAACATGTGCGCACTGATGCAGAGGACCTGGGAAGGAAGCGGCTTACCGATCCTCAGGTCGAACGAGTGTCGTGAAATTCCAGGTAGGGATGCGGGAGGGGAGGGCGATGAGAGAGGGGGAAAACATCACATGCCTATGGCAGGAGAAGGCTGAGAGTCAGTCGACCCGTCCCAACCCGGAACCCGCATGACTCCTTGACCACGATTACTTCAGCTCTTCTACATCTTCTTCCGCCTGCGCTCCTGCCCTGAGAAGCTGGGCGGCCTTCATCGAACTCAGGTGATGACGACCTCTTAAAGAAGTCACTGCTATATAGACCTATATAAACATAAATATGGAGAGATCCGGAAGAAAACTTTGCTCCGGAAGCTGCTCTTGTATTCACCTCGGCGTCCTTGCCAGGTGTCCTCGACGGAGATGAGGGAGGGGGGAGGGCGGAGGGGGGGACGAGAAGGGGGAAGGGGGGGCAACGAGACGCGAAAGGGTGGGAGAGACGAGGAAAATCGGAAGAAAAGGGGGGAGGGGGGGGGACGAGGGAGGGGGAGGGAGGGGGGGGGGAATTGCGAGGGAGTGGGAGGCAGGGACGGAGGTGTAAACAGGAGGACAGCGAGGAGAGGAGAAGGGAGAGCGGGGCGGGGGAGGGCAGGTGCAGGGCGTCTGCGCTGCGAACACGGATCGCCCGATCGGGAGCTCGGGAGACATCCATTCCCCTTAGCAGAATCAGACCAGTCCATTGTTCGGCACTCGTGTAAAAGCTCCATCGGCGACGGGAAGGAGGGAGCGGGGGGGATCGACTCCATCGTGCCCCGATCATTGGATGCTGGAGTTTTCCAGTCGCGACCGACGAGATCAGTCTCTACCGATTCTGCCTCAAACTCCAGGGTCGGTCGCGACCGATTTTGAAATCGGTCGCGACCGCGTTAGAGCGCCGACCTGTCGCCACCGATGCCTCGGTGACGAGGAGGGGGGAGGGGGAGCGACTCCGTCGTGCCCCTGGCAAGGCAGAAACCGACCTGAGCGACGATCAGAAACGGGTCTTGCGCGAGATGTCGTAGCGACCCTGCGCCAGGTCGGGGCCGGCTCAGTCAGCTCCGGGCCGGGAAACCGGACCGAATCGCAACGTCTGTCGGGTCGGGCCGCGTCAGCACGGAATCGGACTCGAATCGGCTGGGCCGCGCCAAAATGCAGCGCCATGCAAACGTCGGGCCGTATCGGACCCTCGGAACACCAGCACCTACTCGGACCGAGCTGGCCGAAATCGACGTCGGATCGGATCGAAATGTACGCTGGGGGGGGAAGGGTTTGGACGCCCGAAATGTGCACGGAAAACATGATGGGTACCATGCCCAGCATCACATGCTGCCCAAAACCCACAGCGGCCGCTGTTGGGGAGGCGGCCTTCTGTCTCAAATGGACACCGTCCGCGGCGACACCTACAGCGAGTCCTGCTCAAAGTGAAGAGGAACTGCTGTCGGAGGTTGTGTCCATTATTTCCGTACCCATGTCGGTCGTCCCGAGAAGAGAGGGACGGGGACGGCAACCCCCATCACCTGGCACGCCGTGCGGTCCTGCGCCCGCCATGGCCGTCCATGGGCTGCTGCCCCTGGAAGCGCTCGCGGCCCGCGGCCGCTGCCTCCGCCGCCGCCGCCGTCATCGTCGTCGTCGACGTGGTGAGGGGGCATGCTGGGGGAGTCCAGCTCAGAGGGAGGAAACGTCGATTCTGAATCAGCGATACGTCGTCCATGGATCGGCGATGGGCCCCCAGCAGCGAATCCGAATGCTCCTGGGCGGGGTGGGCTATCGGGCCTCTATTTGCGATTCATGGGCGATTGGGGGTCGATGCGTCCGCCACTGAGCCTATTCTCCCTCCCCAACGTTGACGCCGTCGCCGACGCCGTCGTCGTCGCCCCGACGACAAAAACGATCACGCTTCTGGCCCCCTCGTTGGGCCCCGCTAAGGAAGCTTTCGTCGCCACGGGGCGGCACGCGACCCGCGAGAGTGGGCGTGCTCGGACTGAGACCTCCTGCGGCCATCGGGGCCGTCAAAAAGCGACCTTGACCGCGCCGTCGGAAGTACGGCTGTGCCTGCTCCTCCTCCCTTCCCTCAAGCCTCGCCCGCCTCCGCCACCACGAATTCTTCCACCTCCAGGCATTTCCGCCGACAGCCTGTCCAGGGTGGACGGCCCCTCGCCCGCCTCCCTCCTTCTCCTCCTCCTCCCTGTTCCTCGTTCCTCCTCCTCCTCCTCCTCCTCCTTTCTCCTCCCCCTCCTCCTCCTCTTCCTCATCTTGCTCCTCCTCCTCCTCTTCTTCTTCATTGTATTGGTAGTGCTCGCGGTATTCTTCTTAGTATTATCAGCATTGCCAGTTGTATTATTACTTGTTTAGTGTGAATAATTCTGGTTGTGACTGCTTACTGGGATTACTATTATGACTGAGCTCCTTCGTCTTCTTCTTGCTAAAATTGTTATTACTCTGAATATGAATACAAGTGAACTCATTGATAATAATATAACTATGTGTTCCTCCTCCGCCCTCCGATTCCTCCTCCTCCTCCCTCCCCCGCTTTTTCCCACCTCCTTTACCTCCTCCGCCTCCTCCTCCTCCTCATCCTCCTCCAACTCTTGCTCTTCTTGCACCTCCGCCTCCTCCTCCTCCTCCTCCTCATCCGCCCTCCTCCGCCTCCTCCTCCTCCTCCTCCTTGTCCTCCTCCTCCTCCTTCCTCCTCCTTGTCCTTCCTCCTTTCCTCCACCCAAGTTCAGTCTCGAGCGGGCCACATTAACTACAGAGCTGGACCCGACTCGTGCGAGAACAGAACGCAGGCAGTGGCAGCTGGGCTGCCAAGGCGTGCGAGGTGGGGTGTGGCTCAGGGACGGCCCGAAGCGTCCCCGCTCCCGCGGTAAAGAATCCCCGGGGCTCTGCTAACCGTTTGACTAGCTCTAATGCAGCTCTAATCCACCTCATCCTCCTCCTCCACCTCCTCCTCCTCCTCTTCCTCCTCCACCTCCTCCTCCTCTTCCTCCTCCTCCCTCCTCCTTGTCCTCCTCCTCCTCGTCGTCCTCCTCCTCCTCCTCCTCCTCCTCCTCCTCCTCATCCTCATCCTCATCAGCATCATCAGCATCATCATCATCATCATCAGCGTCATCAGCATCATCAGCATCATCAGCATCATCATTATCATCATCATCATCATCATCAGCATCAGCATCACATCATCATCATCATCGTCATCATCATCATCATCATCATCATCATCATCATCATCATCATCATCATCATCATCATCATCATCATCATCGTCATCATCATCATCCATCATCATCATCATCATCATCATCATCATCATCATCATCATCATCATCATCATCATCATCATCATCATCATCATCATCATCATCATCATCATCATCATCATCATCATCATCATCATCATCATCATCATCATCAGCATCATCATCATCATCATCCCTCCTCCCTCCTCCCTCCTCCCTCCTCCCTTCTCCCTCCTCCTTCCGCCCTCCTCCTTCCTCCGTCCTCCGTCCTGTGTCTTCCGTCCTCCGTTTTCCGTCCTTCGTGTTCCGTCCTCCGTCCTCCGTCCTCTGTCTTCCTTCCTCCGTCTTCCGTCCTCCCTCCTCCCTCTTCCCTCCTCCCTTTTCATTTCTCCTCCTTCTCGCTCCTCCCTCCTGCCTCCTCCTCCTCCTCCTCCTCCTCCTCCTCCTCCTCCTCCTCCTTGTCCTCCTCCTCCTCCCCTTCCTCCTCCCTCCTCCTCCTCCCTCCTCCTCCTCCTCCTCCTCCTCCTCCTCCTCCGTCCTCCTCCTCCTCCTCCTCCTCCTCCTCCTCTTCCTCCTCCTCCTCCTCCTCCTTCTCCTCCTCCTCGTCCTTTTCCTCTTTTTCCTCCTTTTCCTCCTTTTTCTCCCTCCTCCTCCTCAGCCGCCGCCTCGGCTGCGAGGTCCTTTTCAACACACAAGGTGTTGTTGCAGGACCCCGTCCATCGGGACAGCTGCCATGCACGCCGGCCGCCGCTTTCGCTCCTGGCATGCTCCAGCTGACCGCGCTCACGAGGCAGATCTGGGACCCTCCCCGAGGCTCACACGCGCTGTGTTTCGGCGACTGGGCTATTGTGCGCGCGTGCCGCGCGCCTTGGCTCAAGGACGTCGCGTACGTGGCCAAGCACAGTTTGCACTCGGACGCCGACATCACCTTGGCCTCTGTCAATGCCCCAGCGGTTCCGCCTGGCATCTGGCAGCCACCAGATGTCGCCCCCGCGGACCCTGTTCACGGCTCTCGGCGTCGTTGCGCCCGCTGTCGAAGCGGCTCTGCCCAAGGGGATGAGCAAGCACGCAGAGGAGGTGGGCATGCGCCCTGCTGCAGCAGCCCCCACCTCGCCCGACATGCCGCAGCCGCCGCCGACAGTTTCGCCACGATCTGGAAAACGCCACAGGATCTGCCAGCGAAGGATCTCGGACATTCTCTCGCAGTACGACCCCGACTCTTTGTTCAGGATCGGCTCCTGGCTGACCAAGTAAAAGTCTCGGAGGACATGCTCTATTTCAAGGTGTGCAAGAAATGAAGTGTCCAACCGTCTCCTCTCTATGATGGGTCGCCCTCCTGATGAGATCTGTCTTTCCCTTCGTTCAGAATGTAGCTGAATGGCGCGCAGCGCTTGTGCAGGCTCTCTCGTCGTGGGGCGCCCCCATTCGCTCCCCCCGCGGGCTCTTTTTGCTTTTGCCCCCCACCCAACACCTCTCAACAGGTATGTTTTCTGATGCTCTGCCCACCACGGGGCCTTCCAGTGTCCATCGGAACCCGCCTCGCGCCATGCCCCTCGTCGTACATACACACACAGACACACCTCCCCCCGTATATGCTTCGCATACCCATCTAGCCTGCGGTCCGTTGTTTCGGCTGGCCCGACTCAACAAAGAAGGCTGGAGGTCTGGTAACAAGCAGCGCCAGGTAGGAACGACCAGCGCCGGCCGCACTGGAACTCTGCCAGGGCAGCGGGTTACGGCTATGCTTCGCATACCCATCTAGCCTGCAGTCCATTTGTTTCGGCTGGTCCGACTCAACAAATACGGCGGGAGTTCTGGTAGCACGCCGCACTAGGTCTGGAAGATCTTGTACCGCCCACCTCGACTGGTGGCTCTTCTTGAACGCATTCGCACTGGAGGGTTGGAGGGGGTGGGAGGAGAGAAGAGAAGAGGTGGAGGAGAATAGTGCGTATCCTTGAGATTGCCTGCTTGTTGGCGGCGCCCATCCACACTAGCGCGTCGCTCTGGGGTGCGAATGAGAAATAGCATGCCGTGCCCTCGTGGCCTGCGCCAGCGGCCGCCCGCGCCATCTGCCGCCCCTTCCCGTTCCTCCCCCCCTCTTCCAGGCCCATCCTCCGCCCCGCTTTCCCTCTCATCCACCCGGCCCCTGAACTTCCCTAGGTTTGTTCCGTCGCCAGAACCGGCGCCCCAAGCGGGGCGGCGGGTCACCGAGTCGCCTGTGTTCGGTGGGCTGGGGGATTAGTCGGCGGCGGGTACGGCGGCGGCGGGCAATCCGTCCTCCTCGTAGGGCAGGGGGAGCCGAACTGGGATGTTGGGGGAGGGAGAGAAACAGCTTCACGACGGCGACGACGGCCAGCGCGCGGGCCGCTTTCGCCCCAGGGGGCCGCCCGCCCGTGCGAGGGGAGCTTCAAGGTCCTCGCCTGGTCCCATTGCCTCCCCCCCCTTGCGCTTTTCTCTCTCCCTCCTCCCCAGTCCCAGGGCTGGTAGCCCAAGCCGGCTTTTGATGTGGGGCTGCTAGCCAGGGCGGGTCCCCGTTAGCATCCCCCATAAACAGGCTGCGAGTTGGGGTTTCCCCAAGCAATGGGTGTCCCCCATTGGCAGTACCAAATGCGGCCAACGGCCCTGAGGGACTGTTCAATGGCGGCCCGCTCGCTGACCTGGCTGTTTGGTCAGTGATCCTCCCCCTCCTCCCCCTCCTCCCCCCCTCCTGTTTCCTTCCCCTCCCCCCCCTCCTCCCCCTCCTCCCCCTCCCCCCCCTCCCCTCCACCCGCCTCCTCCTCCTCCTTCTCCTCCGTAGCCAGTTTGGCTCAACCGATCGCACGGCCTCGCCCGCGCGCGCCACCTTTTCGGCGAGGCGCAGCTGCGGGGTGTCGGGGCCAGAAAGGGTTCCCTCGGCCGTCGGCGCCTCTCTCGTGGAGGCCGCCGTTCGGGCCGCGGTGCTGGCTGGGGCACCGCGCCGCACGGTTGCGGCCGTCACGAGGTCCGCCATCTCCGCTACGCTCTTCGCGGGCGGGGAGCGGCCGCCGAGTACGGCCGCGGCCGAGCTTGCTGGTGCGGCCGCCGCCCCCGACGACGACGCGACGCTTGCTGCGCGGCCTGCCGCTGCTGCGGCGCAGACGGCGCGGCGCCGGCGTCGACGCCAAGCCCTCGCTGTTCGGCGAGCGGCGGAGGCGTCACCCACTGCGGCGGATGGCGGAGGAGGCGATGCTGGAGGTGCGGGCAGGGGTCTTGAGCTCGTGCAGGTGCAACTGGAGGAGGGGCCCGCTGCCATGGAGGAGGTGTCGGACGTGCTGGACGACGAGTGGGCCGACTCGGCACCCGTGCAGCGCGCGCGGCCCTCTCCCAGGGCGTGCCACGCTGCGGGACCGGCTCAAGGTGGCGGCTGCTCGGCGGCTGCGGCTGGCGGCGCGGGCGCGGTGGCGCTGGAGCCATCGGCCCCCGCGGAGTCGGCGGCAGACCCCTTCCTCGGTTTCTCAGTGGATGATTTCGAGGCGAGACGCGACCTGATGAAGAGGGCGGCGGCGATCGTCGCTCTTGGGCGCTAAGGTGGTGAGGGGGCGATGCGGGCCCCCCGTGCACATAGGACCGCATTAGGCTTCGTCTTGTACTTCCTGGTGAGATTCTGTGTTTGCAGCATCTCCAGCCGCCGCTGCTCCAGATGATATCAGGCTGTGGAGCGTTGAGTTTAAAAACCGTCCTCCTCCTCCTCCTCCTACGACTACTACGACTACTACTATTACCACCACCACTACTACTTCCACTACTACTACTACTACTACTACTACTACTACTACTACTACTACTACTACTACTACTACTACTACTACTACTACTACTACTACTACTACTACTACTACTACTACTACTACTACTACTACTACTACTACTACTACTACTACTACTACTACTACTACTACTACTATACTACTACTACTACTACTACTACTACTACTACTACTACTACTACTACTACTACTACTACGCTACTACTACTACTACTACTACTACTACTACTACTACTACTACTACTACTACTACTACTACTACTACTACTACTACTACTTTCAATACTACTCCTACTACTACTA